GACCGGGAGGTCGATCCTTCCCGTTTGTTGTTCCGCCGGCCATGTTAGAACCGCTGAGGACTCGGGAGGTAGGTATGATTTTATCGAGCAATTCGAGTTGCTCCACCACCTTCGACCTGATTACATTGGCCGAGCTACCTGGATCTACGAGTACACGTTTAATTTGGACGTTATTCAAGAAAAATGAAATTACCAGCGCGTCGTTATGGGGATAAGAAAAGGTATCGAAGTCCTCTTCACTGAAGGCAAGGACGTCCTCGGGCATGCGGCCCAGGATTTGCCCTTCCATGATGGAAACCTTTGTCCTCTTGATAACGGGTCCTCGGGGAACATCGGTCCCTCTGATGATCATATGAACGATGTGTTGGGGTTTTTTCGTTCCGTTTCTCCCGTCTGCCTCTCTTTCTTCCTGGGCTAGATTTTTCCGAGCTTCTTGTTGGTTCTCTTGGCGTATACTCCTATCAATGAGGGATCTTACATCGACGTGTTGGGTATTGCACGAGACCACGTCCACGGGAATTGGTTCGGGTGTGTCCTCAGGGTTTGCGGCGATACACCGACACCTGAAACAGCTACACCATTCTCTCCATGGTCCTCAGGACCGTTGTTCTCATGTGCATTCACTGAGTTTGACATTTTGACCTGAAATCAAAGATTCTTGGACAAGAAAAAGCGTGAAAGATAACTTGCGTTATGTAGTAAACCAGCAAGAAAAGAACCACTAATATTCTTAGCCCCACGGTGGGCGCCAAACTGTTTACCTTTACAATTGTAAATAAAATTAGATTTGATTTTAGTGGTTCTAAAAATACGTGATTTATTTTTATGCTAGTTTGTTAAGCAATGGATGCTAAGTATGAGACTAGAAAATAGGATAAGAGCTTGAAGGTAACGTAGTAAGCAAACCGAGTGGCTGAGATCGGGGCCTCTAGTTGGCCGATACGGGGTCTTGAGGTCGAGCTAGGCGCTAGGCTCTTGACAGTCGGTAGAGAACTAACAGTTCTAAGGGCCTGGATGAGGGCCTTTTATGTTCAATGATGAGTAATGAATGAAGAACAATCAATAAAATACAATAAATGTAAGTAATAATATCAGAGGAGAATATGTTTAAGCTAGAGAGCAGAGAATGTTCTATTTCTTGTATTCAATGTTGTGTGTTGTATATCTCTTACAAAACAGTAAGGCCCCCCTTTATATAGGAGGGGAAACCCCAACATTTTACATGAGTAATAAATAAAAAGAAAATTTAGTTGGTACAGCTATTCGCTAGTTTGGTACAGACTAGTGCTTCTCTTGCAGGTTTTGTCATCATTGATCATTCACCTTGGGAACTTCCCGCTCGCCCATCATAACCATCAATTTGCGCTGCCCCGAGGTCGGTCATAAAGGATCCTCTAGGACGAACCTTGAGTTGTGCCTCGGTCCTTCGGTAAGATACAACGGTCGTATAGTCGGGCTCTCTGATTTTAGCTGCGTACAATGCTCAACTTCTAAGGATGGGAATAAATCAAGGAATTTTTGATTAGCAGAGAACCTATCAAGCCTTTTGAAGATGCAATTTATATCCAACCTTCCATTCCACCAAGTATACAAACTCCCTTTGAAGCCAAGATCATACGATGCACATGTATCAACACAGTGTGCAAAGTCTTCCACTTCACTCAAATACAATGGACGCCCCCCATACTTCTCCTCCTCAGATAATATCACATTAAAATCCCCTCCAACAAGCCAAGGGGATTCCATATCTGAAGCTAAATGGTACATTGAATCGCATAGCTCAATTCTTTCAATAGCATCACATTTAGCATATACAAGAGTCACGTAAATCTCCTTGTTCAAATTCCTATGAAAAAACTTTAAAGTCATTTTTTGTTCCATGTTCATCACAATATGTACATCAATATCTTCATCTACAAAAGCCCAGATTTTCCCATTCATATTTGCATAAGCAGAATGTATCCCCAACTTTTGTCTATATTCCTCCAGTTTGCTAATGTCTTGCCAAGGTTCCATCAAACCTGTTAAATAGAAGTTGTACTTTTTGTGTAGGTTAAGTAACCTATTGAAAGCCTTTTGACTATTAATCGACCTCACATTCCATACTAAAGCATTATCCATAAGATTATTTGGAAGTAGAGATCACACTCCTCTTTGGTTGCACCCTTATAGGCACGTTGTCTTTGATGTCCTTCTTCTGCCTCCTTGTAGGTTTTGTTGATGATTTCATCTTGTCCAAACTTCTGGGGGAGATGTCACCATCTCTTACTGCTTGTTGGAAATTAGCAGTAGTAGATTCTTCTTCAATATCCTCCCCCAAATCTTCCTCATCTCCTGTGATCCTCAACCACCTGAAGTGCTAAAGGATTTGGTTCATGATTTTTGGATATCATTCCCAATTCCCTTTGCCCCTTATTGTTGATCACTATGCCTTTGGCTAAGATTCCACTAGTGACACTTGAAGTTTTCCCAGCTAATATGCTAGGATCATCAATAGCAGTAGCAGCTAATTGAATAGCATTGTTATTTTATCCAGATTCCATGTTGTTACAAATAGGATCCAGTTCCACTAGATCAATTGAATTCCTTGTAGCCTCCTTCATCACTTCAGTATTCATCTCCCTAGACTTCATTGATTCTTGTACAGCCTTGAACTGCAAATTATAGACATCTCCCAAACTAGGGTTTACAGTAGAGGAAAACCCTGAAATTATTGTTCCATTACCTTGAGCCATCTCCCCATCAGTTGTTTGGTTAAGTAACCTCACTGTATTTTCTAGTGCTTCAATCTAATCATTCCCATGTTGAATCCCAACTGAAACCTCCACTTGATCACTGCCAATAATTGCCAAAACCCGAGCATCACTGCTAGAAGCTACTGTTTCATTAATGTTTTTCTTAGCTGAAGCCTTGTTCTTCGAACCAACTATGAAACCAGCTCCTTTTTGTGAGCCTTGACCTGTTTCCATCATTGAAATAGTTGTACGTTGCCCAGCCCCTTCCTTATCGTCAACACTAGTTTTTGAGTTTTTCGGGTTTACTGTAGAGCTAGGGCTTAGACATGCTGCCAAATCTTCCTCAGTGTTCTGTCTTTCTCCTTTGCTTTTGGGACTCAAATTTGCATAACTAATCTTCTCCATGATCTCTACTTCATCACTCCATAGCTTTGTGGCAGAACTAACGTCCAAATTGGCCCCCATATCCTTTGAATCTTCATAGGTTTGCGATGGAACTTACTGGCAAGAGTGATTAATTGCTACATTCATCTGCCTCAATTGTTCTTTATTTGTGCCAAATATTCTGTGAGCTCACTCAGTAGTGGATTCCTTCTTGTTCAAATCTTTATTCCCAGCTAGGCTAGGATTAGGAATGGGACTGTCTTTGGCCGAGATTTAAGTTGTATCCTTACGCGGAGAGGTTTTCCCAGTAGGTGTAGGATTCACCTTACATTGCTCCTCATTTAACACCTTTTCCAATGCCTCCTTCTTAATTTGTTTATGAATTTCCTTCTCTCCTTCCTCCAATAAGGAAAATTTGTTACTAGTTGTCACAACATCATTAATATTTTCCTTTCCAGTTGACTCCTTTCCTTTTGGTTCATTATTGTCTTCTTGCTATATAGTTTTCTTCACACGATTATCACGAACCTATTTCCATTGTTCACCCATATTTCCCACAACTTTATCACTTGATAAGATCATGAGAGGCTGATTCATATTGTTTTTCTTTTTCTGCCCATTTTGATCAACAACTTCTCCACCATGCACCTCCTGCACAACTGCCTTGCCATTGTCTTTGCTCTCCATCAGTTCTGGATGAATACGCCAACACTCAATTTCATCATGGCGTTGTAGCTTACACTCCTTGCAATACTTAGGTATCATATCATATTTAATATTCATCCACTCAGTCCTTATTTCTCCACTTGTCTCATTCTCAATATCTATCCTGACTTTCTTAGGATGATCAGATCGCAAATCAACTAAGACTTTAACCCTTGCACAACTAGGTCTAATCTTGTTAATTGTAGCCATATCTAAGTGTACAAGTCTCCCAACTGCTAAAGCAAGAGAGAGTAAACATTCCTTGACAAAATAAGTTGGTAACAAACTTGGAAACGAAATCCATGCCATAGCCATGGGAGTCTCTTCCCCTGCTTTAAACTTTGCATCATAAATGAGAAGCCTCAATTGATATTCATATCCCGCTTTGTCTTTGACATAATAAGCACCTTTCGATGTGAAATCAATGAAATCCTGCCCTAATGTAAGTCGAATAAGAAGATGCCTATCTCTAAGAAATCCAATGCTACATGCACCCTTGATTCCACATTGTAAAGGAACGATTCTACGTATTTCTGAAAGCTCAGGCCATCCATATGCAAATTTTCCCACCACAGCATATTGAAGACCCTCGATAATATTCATACAATCTACTTCAGCCTCAGTAAATTTAACCAATGGTTGCCCATTAGAAAAAGAAACTCTTCTCAAAGGAATTGACTCAACAAAATTCTACGCAACCTCGTTTACGTGCATGGGGGCATTAAGTGTGCGAGGTTTAAGGATTTTTGAATAATCCAGTTGTCACGCCCTAAATTCGAGGGACATGACCGGCGCCCAACCAGGTAGCCCCAGCCAAGTGAACCTGGATGCCTTTCCTAACCCACATGTTACCCCACGTTTTCCTTACTCAATTATTCCAAGGATTTGCCAAATAATTAATTAAGAACACTTTTTAATTTACAAAACACATACATACTTACATAATAGTAGTGAAATCACCAACTCGTTACCAACGTATGAAAACACGGATTTACACAAGTTTCTAACCCACATCTACTGTCTACGGAGCCTCTAATAGTACAACAGGATAATATAGTATTTGCCGGTAACAAGGCTCCGGCTATACCTTACACAAATCAAAAATAAAACTCCGAAAACAAGCGGCCTGAGCCACGCAGGGCCCCGAGAGGAAAGGGGCTCACCAAAAAACTGATGGAGGACGAAGGGGAGCTACGATCGGTGGACTGGAGTACCTGCTACGGATCCACCTACAATCATAACACTACTGGTATGTATAACAAACTTTACCCTGAGTAACCTCAAACCATACACGAATAACAACAATAGAGGAAAACAACAATTGATTACACACAAGGAAAAAAAAACAATCAAGGCAAACAAGTTGACAATCTCTCCTTTTCCCATCATCATTTCCACATTTTCAATTTCACAATGTTCTTATGTTTCATTTGAATAGTGATATCGATCACTTTCCATCCTTATTACCTCGGCCACCCTTATTACCTAGGCCACCCTTTTCACCACAACCCACACCTTATTACTTCGTGTTGCGGCGCGCAACCCGATCCCACCGAGCAATCACAATTCACAAACAATAGCACAACAACAACAATTTACAAGGAGAACAACAACAAGTTTCAGGAATAATCAACAGCAAATCCCAATAACAACAGCAACACATCTCAAAGAACAACAACACAACTCACACAGAGTTTATAGGACTATCAATGCCATTTCCATCTTTTTCAACAGCCCGTTGTACCATTTAAATCACAGCAATAATTTTCCACAGCTAGGCACAAAGGATGTTACCACAGTTATTTCAATATCACCAATTTCGATTCCTTTCCATCATTTATTCCACAGTTCTTACCACATAACACATTCGCAATTACAACTTGGTTTATTGCCATTTACTTACACAACCATATCGGACGTCTTAACCAACAACGTTTAAGGCACAACATTGACATGAATTACACAAATGGTTTACACAAGGAAACACATACTACTCACAAGAGTTTAACTTCACAACTAATCCATGAAGGTATCACATACCAAGTATTTGGACACCAAGCATGGCGATTTTACAAAGGTTAAAGTTAGCCATACATACCTGGAGTTGAATCCATTTTTAATTTCTACTTCCAATTCACCGAAATCTAGCAACGGCAATATAGTGCACAAATTAATACTCGTAACTTAGAATTCAAGGTTCAAAACCACTACCCGAACATACTTAGGTTATCAATCCCTTCTTTGCATAAGTCTTTGCTCCCACCCAATTACCCCCACTAGGTTTTAGGTTTTAATAAACACGCATGCACAATTTTTGCCATTATTTCCAAGAACCAATGCATGAGACTCCCCCCCCCCCCTAATTTAAACCTGAAATTCAATGAAAAGGGTCAGGGATTTTACCTGCAGGAGAAAGGGGATGAAGATAAGTTTGAGATTTCCCGGCCCGGATAGCTTTGAAGAATCAAATTTTGGAGGAGATGACTTTCTCTCTCAAGACCCTCTCTTCCTCTCTCTTATTTTGTGTAGAAGATCGTTAAAGAATGAGGGGTTGGGTGTTTTATTACAAAAGGGGTCGGGTTTTAAAATTTAGAAAAATAGAAACCGAGCAAGATCTGCGGTCGCATTCTGCGATCGCAGAATCGAAATGCGGTCCGCAGATGCGATCGCAGAAGTGCCCCCAAAACTCTGAGGGGTCTGTTTGGGTCTGCGATAGGAATGCGGTCGCATTATGCACCACAGAGCTGACCTTCACAAATCCTTGAGAAATTTATGCGACGATTATGCGGTCCGCATATTGGTTATGCGATCGCATAATAGACCGCATTTACAACACTGCTTTTGACAATTCTTCTGTTCCACTCTGCGGCAGAAATGCGGTCCGCATATCAATTATGCGGTCGCATTTTGGACCGCATCTTGACCTCAAGTTTTACCAAACCACAGCTTCACTATGCGGTAGGAATGCGGTCCGCATACCGGATCTGCGACCGCATTCTTGACCGCATAATGGCATTTTCTGGAAAAATTGATTTCTTTTGATTTTTACAAGCTTAGATCAATACCAAGGCTCCGAACCGCGGCGCGCAAGCTCGCCGCGAAGAATTCTACGCATTCCTAACACATATTCGGAGTCGACACCACAAGATACTAGGCTTTGAGCCAAAAATTTTACGGGGCCTCACATCCTCC